CCTTACTTTCACTCAAACCTGGTTTATTCGGTATGCCAGAATGGCTGGGGTCGCATTCCACAATAAAGCTTACTTTAGCTGAAGCCTGGTTTATTTGGTATGCCCATCTCACAATAAACCTTACTTTTACTCAAACCTGGTTTATTGGGTATGCCACAATGGCTGGGTTTCCATATCACTATAAACCTTACTTTTCCTGAACCCAAAATAAACCTTACTTTTGCTCACAATAAACCTTACTTTTGCTGAATCCCGGTTTATTGGGTATGCCACAATGGCTGGGTTCCCATCTCACAATAAACCTTACTTTTGCTCAAACCTGGTTTATTGGGTATGCCACAATGGCTGGGGCCCCAACTCAAAATAACACTTACTTTTGCTCAAGCCTGGTTTATTAGCTATGCCACAATGCCTGGGTTCCCATGTCACTATAAACCTTACTTCTCCAAAACCCAAAATAAACCTTACTTTTGCTCACAATAAACCTTGCTTTTGCTCAATCCTGGTTTATTCGGTATGCCACAATGGCTGGGTTCCTATCTCACAATAAACCTTACTTTCGCTCAAACCTCGTTCATTGGATATGCCACAATGGCTTGGGTCCCACCTCACAATAAACCTTATTTTGCTCACCCCTGTTTTATTATGGTATGGCATAATTGCGGGCATCCCATCTCAGAAGAAACCTTACTTTTGCTCAGCCCTGGTTTCTTGGGTATGCCACAATGGCTGGGGTCCAAATTCACAATAAACCTTACGTTTGCTGAGCCCTGGTTTATTCGGTATGCCACAATGGCTGGGGTTCCAATTCACAATAAACCTCACTTTTGTTCAACCCAAGATAAAACTTACCTTTGCTATATCCTGTTTTATTGGGTATGCCAGAATGGTTGGGGTCCTATCTGACAATAAACCTTACTTTTCCTCAAAAATGGATTATTGGGTACGCCCATCTCACAATAAACCTTACTTTCGCTCAAACCTGGTTTATTGGGTATGCCACAATGGCTGGGGTCCCATCTCACGATAAACGTTACTATTCCTCAAACATGGTTTATTGGGTAAGCCCATCTCACAATAAACCTTACTTTTCCTCAACCCAAAATAACCCTTACTTTTGCTCACAATAAACCTTACTTTTGCTTAATCCTGGTTTATTCGGTATGCCAGAATGGCTGGGGTCCATCCCACAATAAAGCTTACTTTAGCTGAAGCCTGGTTTATTCGGTATGCCCATCTAACAATAAACCTTACTTTCGCTCAAACCTGGTTTATTGGGTACGCCACAGTGGCTGAGTTCCCATGTCACAATAAACCGTATTTTTCCTCAACCCAAAATAAACCTTATTTTTGCTCACAATAACCGTTACTTTTGCTCAATCCTGGTTTATTCGGTATGCCACAACCCAAATTAAACCTTACTTTTGCTCACAATAAACCTTACTTTTACTCAATCCTGGTTTATTTGGTATGCCAGAATGGCTGGGGTCCCATCCCACAATAAAGCTTAATTTGGCTGAAGCCTGGTTTATTGGGTATTCCAGAAATGCTGGGGTCCCATCTCACAACAAACCTTACTTTTGATCAAGACTGGTTTATTGGGTATGCCACAGTGACTGGGGTCCAAATTCACAATAAACCTTACTTTGGCTGAAGCCTGGTTTATTGGGTATTCCACAAACGCTGGGGTCCAAATTCACAATAAACCTCACTTTTGCTCAAGCCTGGTTTCTTCGGTATGCCACAATGGGTGAGTCCCCTTTTCACAAAAAAGTGACTTTTCCTCAACGCAAAATAAACCTTACTTTTCCTCACAACAAACCTTACTTTTGCTCAATCCTGGTTTATTGGGTATGCCAGAATGGATGGGGTCCAAATTCACAATAACTCTTTTGCTCAAACCTGGTTTATTAGGTATGAAACAATGGCTGGCATGCCATCTCACAATAAACCTACTTTTCCTCAGCCCTGGTTTATTGGGTAGGCCACAATGGCTGGGTCCTGTTTTTACAATAAACCTTACTTTTCCTCAACCCAAGATAAACGTTACTTTTGCTCAGTCATGGTTTATTGGGTATGCAAGAATGGCTGGCATCCCATCTCATAATAAACCGTCCTTTTCCTCAAACCTGGTTTACTGGGTATGCCACAATGGCTGGGGTCCCATCTCACAATAAACGTTACTATTCTTCAAACATGGTTTATTGGGTAAGCCCATCTCACAATAAACCTTACTTTTGCTCTGCCCTGGTTTATTGGGCATGCCACAATGGCTGGGATCCCAATTCACAATAAAAATTACTTTTGATCAAGACTCGTTTATTGTGTGTGCCCATCTCACAATAAGCCTTACTTTTGCTCAATCCTGGCTTATTGGGTATGCCACAGTGGCTGGGGTCCAAATTCACAATAAACCTTACTTTCGCTTAAACCTGCTTTATTGGGTATGCAACAATGGCTGGGGTCCCATATCACAATAAACGATAATTTTCCTCAAACATGGTTCATTGGGTAAGCCCATCTCACAATAAACCTTACTTTTGCTCAGCCCTGGTTTATTGGGCATGCCAGAATGGCTGGGGTCCCAATTCACAATAAAAATTACTTTTGATCAAGATTCGTTTATTGTGTGTGCCCATCTCACAATAAACGTTACTTTTGCTCAATCCTGGCTTATTGGGTATGCCACAGTGGCTGGGGTCCAAATTCACAATAAACCTTACTTTGGCTGAAGCCTGGTTTATTGGGTATGCTACAATGGGTGGGTCCCCTTTTCACAAAAAACCTTACTTTTCCTCATACCAAAATAAACCTTACTTTTGCTCACAATAAACCTTACTTTTGCACAATCCTGGTTTATTGGGTATGCCAGAATGGCTGGGGTCCCATCTGACAATAAACCTTATTTTTGTTCAGACATGGTTTATTGGGTATGCCACAATGACTGGGGTCCTATCTCACAATATGCCTTACTTTCGCTCAAACATAGTTTACTGGGTATGCCACAAGGGCTGGGGTCCCACCTCACAATAAAACTTACTTTTGCACAACCTCGGTTGATTGGCTATGCCACAATGGCTGGAGTCCAAATTCAGAATAAACCTTACTTTTGCTCAACCCAAGATTAACCTTATTTTGCTCAATCCTGGTTTATTGGGTATTGCAGAAAGGCTCGGGTCCCATATGACAATTAATCTTACTTTTCCTTAAACATGGTTTATTGGGTAAGCCCATCTCACAATAAACCTTACCTTTGCTCAAACCTGGTTTATTAGGTATGGCACAATGGCTGGCGTCCCATCTCACAATAAACGTTACTTTTGCTCAGCCCTGGTTTATTTGGGATGCCACAATGGCTAGGTCCCATTTTTACAATAAACCTTACTTTTCTCAAAGCAAGATAAACCTTACTTTGGCTCAATCCTGGTTTATTGGGTATTCAAGAATGGCTGGGGTCCCATCTGACAATAAACCTTACTTTTCCTCAAACATGGTTTATTGGGTAAGCAAATCTAACAATAAACCGTACTTTAGCTCAAACCTGGGTTATTGGGTATGCCACAATGGCTGGGTTCCCATGTCACAATAAACCTTACTTTTCCTCAAACCCAAATAAACCTTACTTTTGCTCACTATAAACCCTACTTTTGCTCAATCCTGGTTTATTCGGTATGCAGGAATGGCTGGGTTCCCATCTCACAATAAACCTTATTTTCGCTCAAACCTGGTTTATTGGGTATGCCACAATGGCTGGGGCCTCATCTCACAATAACACTTACTTTTCCTCAAGCCTAGTTTATTGGGTATGCCACAATGGCTGGAGTCCAAATTCACATTAAACCTTACTTTTGCTCAAACCTGGTTTATTAGGTATGGAACAATGGCTGGCATCCCATCTCACAATAAACCTGACTTTTGCTCAGCCCTGTTTTATTGGGGATGTCACAATGGCTGGGGTCCCATCTCACAATAAACATTATTCCTGAAACATGGTTTATTGGGTAAGCAAATCTAACAATAAACCTTACTTTTGCTCAAACCTGGTTTATTGGTTATGCCACAATGGCTGGGTTCCCATGTCACAATAAACCTTACTTTTCCTCAACCCAAAATAAACCTTACTTTTGCTCAGTCCTGGGTTATTTTGTATGCAGGAATGGCTGGGGTCCCTTCTGACAATAAACCTTATTTTTGCTCAAACATGGTTTATTGGGTATGCCACAATGGCTGGGGTTCAAATTCAAAATAAACCTTATTTTGCTCAGCCCTGTTTTATTGGGTGTGCCACAATGGTTGGGTTCCCATGTCAAAATAAACCTTACTTTTCCTCAAACATACATTGGGTATGCCACAATAACTGGGGTACCATCTGACAATAAACCTTACTTTTCCTCAAACATGGTTTACTGGGTAAGCCCATCTCACAATAAACCTTACTTTTACTCAACCCACAATAAACCTTACTTTTGCTTACAATAAACATGACTTTTGCTCAAGCTTGGTTTATTGGGTATGCCAGAATTCCTGGGGTCCCAATTCACAATAAACCTTACTTTTGCTTAGCCCTGATTTATTGGTTATGCCACAATGGCTGGGTCCCCTCTTTACAATAAACGTTACTTTTCCTCAACCCAAAATAAACCTTCCTTTTGCTCACAATAAATCTTACTTTTGCTCAATCCTGGTTTATTGGGTATGCCAGAATGGCTGGGGTCCCATCTCACAATAAACCTTACTTTTCCTCAAACATGGTTCATTGGGTATGCCACAATGGCTGCGGTCCCATGTCACAATAAACGTTAAATTTCCTCAAAGATGGAATTCACAACAAAGCTTACTTTTGCTCAACCTTGGTTTATTGGGTATGCCGCAATGGCTGGGGTTCAAATTCACAATAAACCTTACTTTTGCTCAAACCTGGTTTATTAGGTATGGGACAATGGCTTGGGTCCCATCTCACATTAAATCTTAGTTTTGGAGGTGCTTAAGGCTCTGTTTGTCCCCCTTAACCCTCCCTCCCTAGCCCTTGTCACTTCTGAGCATACATGTTCACAAGTCCTTGAGCAGAAGGAAGGGTAGCCTTTCAGGCTGTAGAGGATGAGCAGGAGTGGGAACCTGCAGCCCTCCAGATATTGCTGATCTGGAATTCCCAAAGCCAATGGTGGAGAATGCTGGGAGTTATAGGTCAAGGATCGCTGGAGTTGGCTCAGTGCTGTGAGTTGCTTCCACTTGGAAGAAAATTCCCATTTGAATGCATAGGAACCAGAAGCCAGCTAGCCCTGTGGGCTCGTTTTCGAGTGGGAAGGACTTTTAAGAGCTTTCTGCTTCCTCATTGGTCTCTGAGATGCCCAGCACCTTCCCAAAACAGGAGCAGATTCTCCTCAGAGAAGAGCTTAGCTCCTTGCTTCGTAGGGCATAGATGGCTGGGTTCACCATTGAGTTCACCAGACAGAGGGTGATGCAAAAGGCAAACACTATCCTGGCAGAGTTGTCCATTATTGAAAAGAGGCTATAGATCATGAGAAACAAACCCGGTGACCAGCATATCATGAGGACCATCAGGACGATCAATAATGTCTTGGCCAGCTTGATGTCAATTCTCATCTTTGTGTTCTGTTGGATCACTTCCAGATGGTACTTCTTCATGTACAAGGCATGCTGGTGAGCCTTCCAAAGGATGTGCATGTATGCATATATGATGGAAGCCAGGAGGATCATCACCAAGATAATCCAACTTGAGATGTAGCTGATAGAAACAAAAGGGAACAACTGGGAGCAGGTAGAGTGGAGGCTGCAGCAGTTCCATCCCAGAAGAGGCAAGGACGACAGGAACAAGGCAGTAGCCCACAGCACCATCAGGGCTACCACCGCTCTTCTTCTGGTGACCAACAGCTTGTACTGGCTGGGCTTGAGGAGACAGATGTACCGGTCAAACGCCATCAGGAGCAGGCTGCCAAGGGAAGTTGTGAAGGAAGTGTTGACTCCACCAAGTTTTAGCAAGTATATCTCCTTGGAAGCATCTATCTCATTAAAAACATGGAAGTTAAGAAAGCTGCTGACAAATGTAATGGTTGCCAGCGTGTCAGCTAAGGCCAGGTTGCTGAGAAGGACATAAGAAGGTTTCTTCCGAAGCTTTGCAGAAGAAAAGATGAGGAACAGCACCAAGCAATTCTCTATGAAGCAAAGTCCACCAAAGCTACAACAGAGCACAGTGATAATGGGTTTTGCTGATTCACTGAGGACCATAAAACACTCCAGGTGTAGCAAGGTGGAATTGCATCGAAAGTTAGTAATCGTTTCATTCAGGTTGCATCTCTCCATCCCTGGAAACTTGAGATTGCAAAGGTCTTTTTCAAAAACGGGTTTTTCTTCCTTGGCAAGTTTTGTGGTGCAACTGCAAAACAGTTGGAGGCAAGGAAAATTAAATGGATCATAGCAAGTGTAACACTTTCTCTTGTGTTCTGCACACATTCAGCCTTGATTTATTCCGGTGTTTTTTAAACTTGGCAACTTTAAGATGTATGGACTTCAACTCCCAGAATTCCCTAGCCAGCATTATTCCTATCTCTCTAACCCACAAACATGTTCCGCACAGACTTTGATTGCTATTTCAGAATGGGAACGGACCATCTCTCAATGACAGATGAGGTGTTGATACAAAGTGGGTGCAGCCACAAGCATCACCAAGGTTGCAAGTATTTGGAAGGGACTTTTTAAAGGTTTTGCTTTCATTTATAAGTTCTATTTAATCTCAGAAACCAGGCTGCTAGTTTTCAACTGTTTTCATTGGCAACAACCTTGGAGGATGTAAAGAAATGCTCCCTGAATTGTAGGCAAGGTTGGAACAGGTTGCCAGTGATGTTTTACAAAATGTGTATGATGCTTTTTGGTTTCTTATTATTTTTATGCAAAAATATTTTTAAAAAGCTATACATTCAGAATAGGAAATAGGAAAGCTAAAGATAATAAAGAAATAACAACAACCAGCCTGGGTTTAATCCAGTTTCTACTCCACTGCTAAGACCTACATTTACAGTGGGGCAAAAAAGTATTTAGTCAGCCACCAATTGTGCAAGTTCTCCCAC